GAGCATACTTGGCATAACTTTGCATTTTTTGTTAAACATAGAGCCATAACCTTCAATACTTAGATATTTTTTCCACTGAATTTCAGTTTTCTGCTCAATAACTGTAAGCTGACTGGTGCCAGTAACTGCCATGTGTTTTCTTCCAGACATAGAAACCGTCCCTCCAGACCTGCTCACTCTCACAAGTGCATGTGCGAAACTGAGAATGACCCAGCAGCCGCCACTACACACCACTACTGCCGGTACAGACAAGCGCGTCTGTCTATCTGTCCTCTTGTCCTCACTGCAGAATCACTTCCTGTGTCTGACATTTAACACACTGACTGTGTGACGTTTTACTTTTGATCTCTTCACACTGTCCACAATCATTTTCAACATGTTTTTTTTTTCTCTTCATGTCTGTTCCGTATTATCTTTTACACTTTTTGCTCAGCCTGATTAAATAAAGTAACATTTTTGTCTCCGTCTGTCACCAGGAGAAGACGACAAGTCGCTATGTGGGACTCTGAGTGTGGCCATCCATTCTGCTTTTGGTTTACAGCAACCAGCTTGTATGTCAGTTTTTTGTTTTGTTTTTAATATTAAGCAACTTCAAATTACACAACAAAATTTTTAGCTTGAAAATCACATGGATTTAAATATGTACATTTGAGCAGAGATTAAGAACAATGGATGAGCAAATCCTTTATCTTAACAATGAGCTAAAGCTATTGGGTCATTATCTTTTTTTCCCCCCTCAGGTGTGTATGTGTGTGTGGAAGTAGACGGCTATGAGTTTTACGATAAACAGGCCCAGACACACTCTTCAGTCCACAGCCTCAACCCTCACTGGGACCAGGTTAGATCCAGTCTTATTAAATTAAAATGATTAGTTAGAATTGTCTCTAAACATGGAAATAATACTAACTGACATCAAAAGCAACATATGAGTGAATTTCTTGTGAGGATTTGTTAATCAGTTCAGGATCGTAAATGACTTCTGCATGTCTAGACAGCATCCGATATGATGTTGGACGTCACTACAACTCGGAGGATTAAGAATGTCTACTCTGCTGTCTGACCACGCTTTGAATGTTATCAGCGGCAGTGAAATCTACACTAATTCCAACTGTTAGCAAGGATTGAAAGGCTTAGAATGAGACATGAACTCGTATGTTGCAGCTTGAGGAAACTGAAGTCTGTCCTCTTCCTTACTTCAAACAGGAGCTGTCTTTCCAGGTAGACGGTGCACAGAACATGAACGTACTGTGCGTGAGTCAGTCGAATGGACAGAGTGACACAGTTCTGGGAAAAACTACTGTAAAGGTACAAAGACACTGAAGAATTTTACCATTTAGTATCCCTGAAGTTGGTATATGGAAGAATGTTTCCAA